CGCACTGGCACCATCCCCGAGCCCCTCCTGCAAGTGCCAAACCCGTGCCTCCGAAAAGGCCGAGGGGAACTCCCGACGGACCAACGACTTCTCTCGGTTCTTTCCGTATGGATGTACGCGTGGGAAGCGCCAGCCTACCGCAGCCTCACGACCTGGCGGCAAGGATGGACCCATGCCACGAGCTTCGGCGCTGTTCCCAAAGCCACCATTGGGGATGTCAGCACCTCTCTCGCCCTGCGCATCGAACACGCCAGGGATTTACTCCTCCCCTTAGCTGGAGCTGCCCTTGACCGACAGAAGTGTTTCGACTACCTCATCACGGACATCTGCCTTAACCTTGCGCTGCACGCGGGGTGCCCTCAAGACATCGTTACTGTCCGCCGAAATTTCTACAGACACCACAAACGCTACATCCGCATGAACGGAGCGTACTCCAAGGACCTGGCCAGGACTAACGGTCACCTCCAGGGCAGCTCGTGGTCCCTGGACGACATCAAGCTGCTCATGTGCGTGTGGACCAAGAGGCAGCACCGATACGTTCCTCGATCACTCAGCACTACCTTCGTTGACGACAGCAACTCCACTACCCACGCCGCTTCTGAGCTGCAGAAATCTCTCGACGAAACCGCCAAGTTTGATCGATTCTCAGGTCAACGAATTCACCCTGGTAAAGTGGCAGGGTGGGCGCTCACCGACGAGCTTCACGCCGCCGTTACCCAGCTCACACTGGCGGATCGCCCCCTACGTGTGGTCGATTCCTTCAAGCTCGTCGGGAGTTACATCAACGCAGAGGCAGCGCCGGCTCCAGCCGCGCTAAACCTCACGGCCACCGCAGACGCCCGTGTACGGAGGGCGACTATCCGCCTGCCGCGCATTGGCAAGCTCCCATCGCCGATGCTTATCAAGGCGCGGCACGCCCGTTCCCTGGCTGCCAGCGTCTGCACCACGGGCACCGACATTCAAGCACCATCAGGCCCAGCCAAGACTGCCTACAACCACGCCCTCAAGGCGGCCATCCGCCCCAAGGGGACCAAGTGGGTCGAGTTCTGGACTCTCATGGCCGTGTGCGTCCCAGGGCACGCCCTTGAGATCGACGCCATCACGCAGCGTGAAGCATTCCTGTGCCTGCGGCGACAGGTTAACCGCGACGTTATACTCTGCGGGCTCGCCAGAGACCTCCAACACCACGTCCAGACCCTGTTTGGCGGAGGACCCGTCGGACGACTCGTCCAGTCGCTCCAGCAGCTCCGATGGACCTGGCCCACATTTGGCATCATGTACGACGACTGGGGCTGCCAGATCAGCTGGCTGAATTTACCCCAAACCGCCTTCCTGCACATGCTGCGGGCCTCACAACGCAGGGCATTTCTGCGGAGGATCAAGCCACGGCGACACGACCTTGGCTACCTCGCCTCTGTCAGACAGGGCCTTGACCTCTTCGCAAGCACGTGGCTCGCGCGAACTAAAGGAGCAGCCAAATGCACTGCCTGGCAGCTGGCGCTCCTCCTGAACTACCTGTCGGGCGGGGATCACACCCAACAGCGACGATCCCGATCAAACACGTCGGCAGACCCCAGCCCCATGTGCCGCTACTGCGACGAGGAAGAGGAAACTCAGGAGCACACTGTCCACGACTGCAAGTGCTGGGCCCGAGAAAGACTCCCTCTCACCACCCTCATCAGTGACGACCAGTGGGCCCGTCTTCCGCCGCACACAAGACACTGCGGGCTCTTCGACGAAGAACCAGCCCTCCTCGACCTGCAGGCCGACCTCGCGAGGGACCCGCTGCCACAGCCCATTCCGCGGCCCTCCCCTGAGGGTGATCCTGCGGCTTCAGCCAGGACACCTACACCACCTACCTTGACTACGACACTGGTTGGACATGGGTCTATGCTGCCACGGACGGTGCGTGCACCAACCAAGCCATCCCATTGCTAGCACGAGCGGGCTACGGCGTCTACTACGGCATCGACCACCGCATGAACTACAGTGCACGCGTTCCCGGCCTAACGCAGAACGCCCAGGTTGCGGAGACCCTCGCCATTGTCCACCTTACGGCATGTGCCGAACGGCCCGTGCACGTTTTCGTGGACAACCAGGCGGTGGACGATGGGTTCCAAAGCATCATCGACGGACATCCAGCGCCGCAGGGCACGCACGCGGAGCTCTGGGAAAAGATCCACCGATGTGTTATGGCCAAGCCCAACATGTTTCGCGTCGAAAAAAATCGCCAGCCACCTGGGAGACCTGGGCATCGACCTTGGGCTCATCGGGCCCATCGCGGAGGAGTTCAACCGTCAGGCCGACGCCCTTGCCACAGCGGCGGCACGCACGCACAACCTTCCCGACGACATTGTTGAAGCTGCCAAAACACGACATCGCCAAGCGACCGTGCTTCATGTGGTCGCTGTCGCTATCTACGAGCGCAGACACCGTACTCTGCCGCTCCCACACCGCAGGGCTGGGTTTACAGCAGCGGAACTCAGCAAAATGGAACCGAACCCCCTGCTGTCGGACCAGGCACCACCCGCGGCTGGACCATTCATCCCGCAAGACCCGGATGAGCTCTGGGCCGAGGCCAAACGGGCGATGCTCGATGAACAGGAGGACGACCCGTTCGGCTTCGGCGGGGGATTGGACTTCTTGGACGACGGCCCAGCCAGCGCCAACCCTGCCCCGTCGGGCAACCTCTCGACGCCCACCGCGACTCCGCCACCGAGAGCGACATCGCACCCACATGATGATGTCGCTCACCGTCAAGACGCCGACGAGGACCTTTATGATCCCCTCGGATTGAGTGGCAGCATAGACGACGCCCCGCCGACGCCCCACGCTGCCGACGATGCCGCTCCATCGAGACGCCACCCGACCACGCGGCCGACCTCCGAGCCCTCGCACGGCATCATGATTGGTCCCACCGTGCCACCCACCCCGTCCCCCCACCAGCGCCAGCCCGCGGGGGCGGCTCTAGCCCCCCCGCAGGGCACCGAGCCAGTCAGGCCGTCGCACCCCGTCCACGCTTTCACTGTTGCTGGGTGCGAGGATGCGGCTCTTCCGTCCTCACGGGGCGTGGCCCTAGCGGCTCCAGCCCTGGGACCGCGTGTTACCCTCCAGTCGCCTCTCAAGGGCGACGGCCGCCAGCACACGGATCGCCGCACCGCGCTGGTCCACCACCTGGCCAGGCGCACCGATGACCTCGTCCCTGCCACGAGGCCCCCGGCCGCAGGCACTGAGCAGCCGCCCCTCACCGACCGCGAAACCGAGCTGTCCCAGTCTATGGCCGCTCTTCAGCAGGTGTGCTGCTCTCGCCGCCGACCTT